ACATAGTAAGGTAGTTATAGGCTTAGAAATGTGCTTCACAAAAAAGAAAAATTAATCGTGAACCTGGTCTACATTGTGATGATTTCAGTAAAAGTCTTATAACTTCATCAAAAGAAAAGGTTTTTCGATCGGGTTTGTTTTATTTTGATCAGAAATGATTGCTCTTTCTACCCAACTGCAAGAGCAAAGCTTCGATCACATTTTCCGCTGCTTGTTGAGTACAATGTCGGAAAATGGGTTGTCGATTTTTTATGTATTTTTGAAAATTGGTTCTCCAGCACTCCATCTGTTCTAAAAAAAACATTTTCTACAGATCATGAGAAACAGCACATTTGAAAGTATCAAACATAAACTGAGTTCTCAATTTTGTTACGCTTTTTTTACGAAAATAATAGGAAACGAAAAAGTTCAAGTCGAAAACAATACCAAATTTACAAGGTTTTCATATTTTTTTCGCCTCGAGTATAATTTGCTTAGTTTCTTTGATTGAAGTTCTGAGATTAAAGTTTAGATATAATTTTGTAGAGAATTTCACAGCGCTTCTATTGAAAAAAGAATTTGTTCTAGGCGATCTAAGGAACAGGAGTTAAAGCACAGATACCGAGATCAGATTCACGGTTAATTTTTCTTTTTTGTGAAGCACATTTCTAAGCCTATAACTTCCTTACTAGATGAGCTAATGGGGTCAATCAAAAGCCATTTTGTAGAGCGTCTTTTACTACATCTTTTCTTCATAGAGACAAATTTTCAACCATACGTTTTACTAAAGAAAAATTTATTATACAAATCGAGTCAGGACTTCTGGACCACCCTTTAATATATAAAAATATAAATAGAATTATTTGAGAAATTATTTAAATAACATTAAAATAGGAAATAAAAACAAAAATTCTTGATCATAATCATAGTTATGATTTATATGTATAATAAATTAAAGAAGTTTGTCTTATTGATGATAATCAATCAATATAGATTAATTATAATTAATGAAATGTCTACTTTTATATTTATTCATAAAGATTTTTGATAATAATTATTCAAGTTATTATTCATATTAGAACAAGATATATAAATTGATTTTCTTTTTTTTTTTTTTTTTTGTTTTAAAATAAAATAATTTGTGATTTATTTAGAAAGAATATGTTCATCTTATTCAATAGAAATTCATAATAAAATTCGTCAAAATATGTCTGAGACATTATCAAATTTAAATTCATTTGATTCATCATTACGTTCTATAACTTATAGTCTTTAATGTGTATTAATATAAATATTTGATTTATGTGTTCAAGGAGAATTAGTTGAATCATCTAATCTTTATATACTATCAAATAATATAATACTTATAAAAAAAAAACAGTATGACAAATATTAATATTAAAAGAAGCATATTTAACGTAAGAATTTTCAGAAAAATCTATTTAAGATTTTAGAAATTCAACTATTGAATTAAAATATCTTTATTTACAATATATAAAAAAATGATTAGCAAATTTAATAAGATTTTGTAAACAAAGTCATAATAATAAAAGAGCTCAAATATTAATAATAATTAATAAGATTAACTATTGAAGAAAATCATATGTATCTATAAATAAAAACTGAAATATGATCACATGTTTAACAAGTTAATGATTTAATTTATTAAATATTATTTTATAAAAATATATAATCTTTACTTGCTAGTCTTGGATGATTACAATATAAAATTTTAGTTGATAAAACTGTTGCTTTGAGTTAGTTTAAATATTTTATTATTTTTAAGAAATTTTATTGAACGTCTTTGTTGTTTAATTGACAAAAATAGCATGTTTATCATCAATAATAATACTACTATCGGAATTTCTAAAGAAGGCGCGTGGAAGAAAAGCTTATAACTTTTGAATGGAAAGTCATAGCGACCTGCGGTTTTCAGGGTTCAATAGACGGCAGTCGAGGGCACATCTCGATGTGTGGGGGATGTTTTCCAAAAGTATTTTTCTAAGCTAATTTTAGTAGGCGAAATTAGGGGAAAATTAGCGACTTTTCCATAAGAAATCTTTTTCACTAGTTTTGTAGCCCGAAACGTCCTCTTAAAAAACCTCTAGCGTCTCGAGGAAGCAAAATCTTGAAGTTGCTTAGATACCATATTGAAGCGGACGTTTCGGGTTACACAACTAGTGAAAAAAATTTCTTATGGAAAAGTCGCTAATTTTCCCCTAATTTTGCCTACTACTAATATTAGCCTGGAAAAGTGCTTTGAGAAAACATTCCCCACACACATCGAGATGTGCTCCTGACTGTCGTCTATTGAACCCTGAAAACCGCAGGTCGCTATGACTTTGCATTCAAAAGTTATAAGCTTTTCTTCCACGCGCCTTCTTTAAAAATTCCGATAGTAGAAGAAAATTTTATTTAGAATGATATTGCTATTTTACTTTATTATTTTTTAATAATAGTTCCATTTAATAATTCATTTTGATGTTTCATCACATTTAATAATTTTATTTCATATTGTTAAAATTACTTGTTAATTTAGATCTATTAAGATTACAATCATTAACACCATGATTTTGTTATAAATATTTTATATTCATCATATGCATGTTCTCAACTATAATTTAATATCAAAAATTCAACATATTCTTTGTTTGCTATTATCTGAATTTTCTTTATCAAAACTTTATATTTTATTTCGTTAATCAAAAGTAAATCATGTAGATATTTTATTTGATAAGAATAATTTTTCAATCAATTAATATAACAAGATTAACAACAAGGATAAGGTATAATACTTTTCCAGAAACATAAGATTACGAAAAAAAAATATCTCAAAGTTTTATGAAATTTGTAAAAGTTTTTGAAAAATTGTCGAGCCTTCCTCTCAACTTTTGCTCTTTCGAGACACCCGTAGTGGTTAGGTATTACAGCTTATGAGAAATATGTGAGTTCCATATATCAGCCCCAAAGAGGCTGCGCTAATAAGGTTTTTTTCGTGCATTTCACAGACCTAGTCGAATGTTGACAAAATCGATTTGTTCGTCAATACAGATAAAGTCTACCATAAGGACCTGTTATTAATATTTTCATAATATCGATACGATTTTCATCTGAACGTCGAAATATTGTTGAACTAAATGATAATGGTTATGATGTTGATATAGTTATTTGTTCGTTGTGGTAAACGTTTCATTCTTTGCATTGAATTTATTGTTAATGAATCAGGTAGAATATCGTTCATAATGATATTTAAGTTTTTATTAAATAATATATAACAATTTGTTTCATATTAAATTGTTATTGTATATGTAATAAATTGTAATAAATTCATTGTTTGACAATAAAATTCTTCTAATGTTATTAATTCATATTTAATTATTTAAATATAAATGATTATTTTAAATTTGTTTATCGTTGTTTTATTTAATGATAAATTTGTTTTAATTCAATTGAAAATAAATATAATTGTTGATCCTCATCAATTTGTATCATTGATCTATATGTGTTGTATAGATTGTAAAAGATTATCAATTAAATATTCAATATAAATTGTATGATAAGATTAAATATTGTTAATGTTATGATTATTTAATAAATAATTAACTAAACGTAAACAATAACGATGTATATAACCTTGTTTTGATATATATAATATAGAATAATAACGTAAATATGATTAAAGTACAGGTATAATAGATGATGTATTTATTATTTCAATTAAATAATCATCAAGTTATTCTTCGAATAATTTATTTGAAAATATTTAATAAAATATATCAAATAAATAAATAAAATGTTCTTCATGTAATTTTTCTATTTGTATTATTTCATCAGATTTCCATTGTGAATGTGTTTAACCTGTACCAAAACCTGTACTTTTAGCCGAAAAATTTACATTTGTATTATTATTATTATTATTTTTAATTGTATTTAATTGTATTTAATTGTTGTTGATTAAATTTGTTGAATATAATCTTAATAATATTGATCATAATTATGATCAATTATTGTTGGATTATTTATTGTTGTTATTGATGGAGAAGATAATGATGTTGATATTAAATCTATTTGTTTACGATATGGATTAAGTGTTATTGATGATAAAAATGAAAGTAATAAAAGTAAAATACTTGAATGTAAAATATCATCTAATAAATCATTTTATGAATCGTTTAAGTAAAATTGATTATGTTTAAAATGGTTATTTTTATAATTGACGCATATCAAAATATTCTTGATGTTGTTGTTGTTGTTGTGTTTGATATTGATATTGATTTATAATTGATTCGTGTTTTGTCCAAGCATTAAACGTATTATATAACGATGGAAGTGAACTATTTTTTAACATAGCAGGTGCATTATTTGGTAACACGAATAAATATTGAAAATGTTATAAATAGATAATATTAGATTGTCATATTATTTGAAAAAATTTGTTGATGATGATGATGATGTTGAAACTAATGATGAAAAATGGAATAAATGTTATTTTATCGAATATATTTCTATTTGATGATAATGATAATGTTTAACAAGATTGATCATATGATTGTATTGATGGATAATTACGAGGAAAATGCTGTGGAAGAATTTAAAGACGATTTACATGAACAAATGTATAAAGTAATGTTGAATAATCGTTATTTGCAACAATTGATTTATGTGTAATTAATTCATTTTCCTAAATAGATTAAAATTTTTTGTTTGTTTGTTTTAAAAATCTTGGAAATATTTTCTTTATTTAGATTTGAATTATTTCTATATCGATCGAAAGAATAAACTTATCTAATGATTTTCTATAGATCAATAAAATGATGAGTAGAATCTTTTTTTCTAAACATTTCTGATCTCTTCCTCTAGCTGAAAACTTTTATCTGACAACTTTTCATGATAAAAATCGATCGAAAAATTTTTTTTTTTCTCCAGAAAATTAGTTCGATATGGTGATGGACATTTCGCATTAAGTCATTCCGAACTCGTGTCATGTGTCCGGGTGTTCAGATATGATTTTTGTCCTGGACAACTGTCATTACAAACACCTTGTTTTTTAAATTTTTGATTGATTTTGTCATTCCGAACACTCTGTCTTATTTTTCTTATTTCCAGAGATCATAACGAACATCTGCTATCAGAGATCGTAATGAAAAGGTGGTACGAAATGTTCCATTCCCACATAAAAACATTCGAAATTCTTTGACATATTTATTTGTTTCATCTTCATATTTTTCTTTAATTAATTAAACATTGAAAAACAAAAAAAAAAATTTTTCTTCTCAACTTCCTTGACCATGATTAATTAAAAAATGATTATCAAAAGTAATTCAATAAGATCAACGTTCATAAGTATTTAATGATCGATAATTAAATGATAATAATAAATCATTTAATCGTGTAGTTGTTTGGTAAAATACATTGTCGTTTTTGTCGATTAATATGTAAAATAAAATGTAGATTTTCTACAGGTGTTATTGTTGAACTTTTCTTTGGTATTGATGATTAATTTGTTATTGATTTAGATGATAATATATGATGTGTTAGTTAAATTTGATAATGAAGGTTACTGATTGTTGTTGTTAATGTATCCTTGTATTATTGATCTTAATGAAATTAATTAAGCTCCTGGTATTTTTCTTCAATGATTACTATTTATTGGTTGAGTTGATGCTTTTATTAAATAATTTTTATTGTTTAATATAATTTGATGCTGTTCATATATTAGTTTGTAAATAATTAAAACCAAATAATGTCTTTCAATTAATTGTCCAAACGATATTTATCTTCAAATATCATTGATATTTGATGACTTAAATCAATTATATTTCTATTTGTTGTTGTTGAAGATTTTATTTATCTATAGATTAATTTAATATAATCATCACCATTTAATGTTGTTATTATTGATGTATTGGAATTTTTATTATGTAAAATTTGTGTTACCATAAACTGTTGATATAAATGTGTTTATATGGATTTATTGTTTGTTCAATAATAACTTGTTGATCATATTGATAATATAAATATATTGATATGTTGTTGTAAATCAATTGTATAATGATAAATTGGTTTATAAAAATGTATAGGTTATTGTTTTAACAATATAAATTTGTTTTGTTAATGATAACGATTAATTATTTGTTGTCCGTTGTGTATTTAATAAATATGAACATGGTATAAAATAATAATCATCTTATGATATTGTAACATGTTATTGATTATGTATATTCTCTTAAAATTTCTATTTAACTGATCAAATAAAGTATAATTCATAATTGATAATTGTTGAAATGGTATTATGTTGTATGGATTTTAATATAATTGAATATCAAAATTGTAATGTTAATGTAGAAGGTTGTTCATTAGGTAAATATCTATATGAGCATGGTGGTGAACGTAAACAACGTGATGATGATGTTATTCTTCTTGTTTGAAGATTATTATTTGATTCTATTAAAATTTCCAGTGATGTTGCATTTGAATTTGAAGATGTTATTTGACATTTTCGTGGTAAATTTATTGAACCAATATCCATTGTATTATTTGATAAATAATTTGAATAAATTATTAAATAATTAACTAATAAATCAATTAATTTATATTGATTTAATGCTTAAAATAATATATTTGTATTATCTATTGAATAAATAATAAATAATAATTAAGGTGATGATAATAATGGATTTGTTGTTAAATAATGACAAAGTATTGGTAAAATATAATTTGGCTGTGATATAAATAATGATAAACAATAATAAATCGCATAACCAACAGACATTAAATAATTTAAATATAAATGTATTGTTATATGTATAAATGATTTCATATTGATTTGTTTATGTTATTGATGCAGCAAGAAATTTTGTTGATGAATTAAATGATATTGATGGTGATGAATCAAGTGATGAATTACATATTGAAAGAAGTATTGTCAATATAAATTGATTAAAGTATATCATCGAAATGTTCATATTCAACAATTTCATTTATTTTTATATTTATTTATTCATTTTTAAAACGTTTACCTTGTTTATCAATTGTTTGATTTGTATTTTCCATTAATTTTGTTATTAATAATATCATTTGTCGTATACATCTATCATATAACATTACATTGACGACGTATTGATGATGATGATGATGATGATGATTGAATATCTTGAGATTTATTTGATTCATCTAGGAAAAAAAATGGCAAAAAAGTTATTTCTTATTCAATTAGAAAACAGGAATATTCATCGCGTCTCAAAAATCTACTGCGATGATAGAAAAAGCTTGTACATCGCCGTCGCAATAAACACTCCTGATAGAATTGATAATTTTTTTTTGCTACTTTGTCAAATACATAGGGCAGGCAATGTGTGGGATCGGAACTATGACTGAGATCGACACCAAACCAAGGCAAGACCAAAATCTGAACAATGACCAGTGCCGACCATAGTCCCGTTGGCGATCCAATCCCGGCCATAGTTCTTGTCTCGGACCGGTGCTGACCATAGTCTGAATAAAACTGGTCTAATCCTAGTATCGATTCGGTCCCAGTCATAGTCTCTCGATCGCACACATCTCTATGCATGCGAAAACATTGAAGAAATTATTCAGTGTAAATAATATCTTTAATTAATTTTAAGCAAGTTAGTTCTTATTTTGATGAATTAAATCAAAAATGTCTCTATTATTAAATCCTAGCTGATGTTGCGACTCTTTTACTTAATTTAATATTTTCAATAATATTTATATATTAATTATTACAGATAAATAATCTTTGAAAATAATTAATAACAATATCAACTGTACTTTCATCAATAATATCGTTGTGCTATTTGTGTAAATTTAAAGAAAATTTTATAAAATAAACTATTTCAAATATATTCTTGAAACGATATTTGTTTAATTTGTTAAGCTAAATCAATATTTGTAGTTGTATAATATAATAATGAAAATAAATTATGTCATAACACCTATTCTTACTAATGATGATTCTAATAAAAATTGTTAATAATGTTATCGTTATGTACAAATTGATATAATATATAATGGTTTTAAATTAATATTAATTGGTGGTTGATTATTATTAATTGTTTCTGTTGTTTGTATATATATATATATTTGTTAATGATTAATATTTTGTTGAATAATTAGTTAATGATATAATTAAATATGATGATAATAAATGTTAAATTGTTATTATATAAATAATATCTATATAAAATGATTTTGTTCAATAAAATAATATAATATATTTTGATAAATTTCATTTAATAAATAAATTGTTCTAGACGAAAAATTTTGTTTTATTTCATATTGATTTAAATCATTCATATTTATATTTAAAATGATAATAAATCGTATATTGATTTAATTGAAATAAATATTTATTTAATAATGTTTCTATTTTTATATGATTGATTTATTCTAAATAAATCAAATATAAATTGTATATTCCGATCAAGACGATTATCAATTGAATATGGTTAAACATCATTATTTAAATTATTTATTATTGATCTTTGTTGTTATTTATATTGATGTTGATGTTGTTGTTCTTGTTGATATGATGATGATTGATTTAAAAGTATTAAAAAATCTTCTGTTGTTGGATATAATATATCTTGTTCAGATGTTTTATTATTTTGAAATTCTACAAAAATTTTTTGTGTATTATTATTAGATTTTTTTTTGATTTTTTTAAATGCTGGAAAATGTTTTTTTTTATGTTCATCATTAAATTGTTTATCATCATCAATATCAATATCATAATTATTTATATTAATTTCATTTGGTAAATAAATATCATTATAAATAAAATCAATTAAAAAAATAATTAAATGGATATTTTAACCAAATTTGTTCCGTATTTAAAATAAATTAAATTAAATTATCGTTTATTTATATATTAATTTAATAATAAAAATGGTGTTAGATGAACGAGTTATATAAGATAATGATTTAGATATAAATATAAATAATTGATTTGATAAATATTTATTTTCAATTAATATATTAATAACGATATATTGAAACTTGTAAAACTAATGAATGATAACAATAATAAAAAATTGAATTTGTTTCTGATAGAATTATTGTTGATGTTTGTGTTGTCATTGATGTTGTTGTTGATGATAATGTTAATTTTGATTTTTTTAATAAAGTTTCTTTAGGTAATTTTCTCGGATAATTATTTGCTGAATTTGTTATACGTGGACTTTGTATTATAGATGATCTATATCAAAATTGGCAATGTTTATTAATTAATTGTGAAAAATTTCTTTTCGTTTATATCAATATGAAAATAAATTTTATTCTAATAAATAATAAAGATTGAATTGATTGATAATTCTCATTTCTATTTAATAATATATAGAATAGCTAATAAACGATTATAATAAATAGTTGTTCCATTTGAAGAATTTATTGTTAATAATGTTTGTTCACATAAATCAACAAGATTTATAAATAATGATTGTTGTTGATCAATTGTTAATATATGATTTGAAATAAAATAACGTTGAAAAGATTCGTTTAAAAAATTCTGTCGACCATGAATGATATGAACATAATTGTAATAGACGTTTTGGCATATCAAATTATTTTTAGATGACGTATAGCAAATCTATCAAAAATTTTAAAAAGCATCATTCAAAGAAATAAATGAATAACATAGAGACAATCTAAACAAAAAGAATTTAAATAGAAATTTTCTTTTATAATGTAAGGCATCGACTATTCGACGAAACTGAGTAAAATCATTTCTCCTCATAGTAGGATAGAGATCGTTGAGTTAACTCTGAATATTTTTCTTTTTTTATAATAAAACATAGGTTTGAAAATAAAAAGCCTATAAAAATTGCAATACACTAAAAGAATCAAGTCTCGATAGTTTTCTGTTTTTTGACCAAAAAACTCAATATCGAGCTGGCTATAAACTATGATAAGTTCAAGTGCAATGTGCAATTAGAGACATAATCCGACTGAAACATCTCAATGTTATATAGTTATTAAATTTAAGAAATTCTCTTCTTTGACTTTCGAGAAAACTACCCGAACTGATACCCCCCATTTGAGCTCATATTGAGTTCACAAGGAAGTTTCGATAAATACCTTGAGCTGGATAGAAAATTTATTAAAACTGTCATAACTAGACTCTGAATGCCCATGGGGATGAACTCTTTTAGGGTTTTTCTAGTCTTACAGAGACCTTCTTGTCAAGTCAATATAAACTCAAACGGCGGGCATCACTTCGGGTAGTTTCCTTGTTGACGTAAGACAAAACACCAGTTTCCTCAAATCTGTCTGTAAACAGCCATCCGATCTTTATCAGAGAGATATTGATAAGCATTCTCCAGAGATAAAATCGTCTGTGTTTCGTTTTCTAGGTACTCTATCTATGATAAAAAGTTCAATATAATCGATTGTATCCGTTTCCAATAATGAGAAATGATCAGAAAATATGGACATACTCTTAATTGAAGACGTAGAGAGTAAGATTTTGTTGTGTACTCTATATCCTAACTAATATATTCTCATATGATATATTCAAATAATACAATATAATTATGTTATTATATTTTTTTTTTATAATATGATTTCCGTGTCTGTTGGTTGTTGCATAATTCCTGATAATGATGTCAATTGAGTTGTTAATAAATCTGCTAATAATTTAAAATAATCACGTTGTTGGTTGTTGATCATTAATTTGAATATGATCCATTTTTAAAATATTTCTACATTGATTTATTTGTCAATTCGGATGATTAATTTGTATTTGTAATTGTATAGATTCATAATAAATATTTTCAATAAAATTTTTCTTCAATATTATTTCTTGATGATGATAATAAATTAAATAATTTTTGTCTAGATAATCCATTATTTGATATTAATCTATCGATAAATACCTTCAATTGATTTTTATTATTTTTTTCTTTCATATTTTTCATTATTATTATTATTATCATCATTTAATATATATGGATAACCAAAAAAAATATCCAACTGGTAAACGTATTGATAATAGAGATATATTTGATTGCCCAATTAATGTTATACGTATATAACGTGCTATGATAGGTGGTTGTAAATCATGTAAAAAAAATGGTTGATTTGATATATGTGTTGAAGAAAATAAACGTTGACAATCGTCAATATGTTGACCATATGACCAAAAATCTAAACTTATTGATGCCAATTCATTACATGATCGGATTAATATATAAGTTAATGTAAGGTTGTTGTTCAAAATCTAAAAGAAAATAACGTTCTACGACCATCTGATAAACGATCAATTATTAATTGATATTATGGTAAATATTCTCCATAATGAATATTATTTTATATTTGTCTTAATATATAATCAATTGTTATTATTTGTTAATATACGATTTGTTGATGATGATGTTTGTTGATTTTGATGTATGTATAAGATGAGTAAATAAATTTTAATTTTTTTTTAATATTGATGTATTGTGTTGTAACTGCTTTATTTTTTTTTTGGAATTAATTTTAATTTTTCTTTTCGTAAACTTTGTTTATCTTTAAATTTTGATAGTAAATGTGTTAACCATGGTGATGTTCCAATTAAATTCTCATTTATTTGATTTTCAATTGTTGTTGTTGTTGATATTGGAAATGATGAAACAATTATTGATGTTCTATCATTTGTTGGTCCTGTTGAATTTATTGATGTTGGTTGCATATAAAGTGTATCATGATATCTATTTATATTTGGTGTTGAAAAATGAAAATGGAAATGTATTTGTTGAATTAAATGTTTATATTAATGGTGGTAGTGTCATTGAATTTGATGTTGTTCGATTATAAAGATGATGTTAACTAGTTGTAAGTTTAACATTAGGTGGTGGTGTATTTGTTGCGTTCATATGTAGGTAATGTTAATAAATGTGTCATATAAAGACATTAAAGAGGTGTACCATCACTTGATGAATGCGTTCGAGAATTTAATAGTGTTATTTCAACTAGACCTGGTATTGATTTTAAATAAAGATTTGATGATGAAAGTGAATCTGGTAAAAGTTTTGATAATGCATTGAGAATATTTGTTGATGAATATAATGTATTTCGATGACGATGGTTTTATTGTTAAACCAGTTGTACCATAACGTGAATAAATACGTGGATCATAACAATTATCATTTATACCAATTGTAGGTGATGATTGTGAAGTATTTGTTGAATGTTGATGATGTTGAGGAATTAAAATAAGATTGACGAAGAGTACATTCAATTAATGTTGAAACGATCAACATGAAATAAATGAGCATGAAATGAATCAGCATAAAATCCAAATCTTAAGAAAAAAAAATCGAAGAATAATTCCAATTCTATGTCCCATATAAAGCCTATCGGGTCTGGGTTACCGACCCGATGCGAGTGCAACAAATTTTAATCGATCAGATCCGAGTCCGTAAATTCTTGCACTCGATGACTCTTAGTCGCATCAACGGCGGAACACTTTGAGTCTATGTTAGGCTTAGCAATCTTTTATAAGATTCTCATCGAAAAGAGGACGGGCGAATGTATTTATGGTATTGAAATGAAATCGAGCTAGTGCTTCGTTATTTATAACTGATACATTGAACTGTATAGAGCTGTTACAGTTCAGAAAACATTTGTCAACTTGTGTAAAAAAGACGTGGGCTTAAATAAACAATCTAATTTCGACTGTTGAAAGAAGAGTTTTCGATGTGCCTTACTGAAAAACAGAATAACGACGTAACAGTAATGTTGACATAAAAAAGGAAAACGTTTCGGCAGGTTTTAGTGTTATCTAACTCGAATGTTCCGGTACTCTTCTATTTTACTTGTTACAAAGGAGTACTACTTCAAGTCTTTAACAATATAGAACCTAACATTTAGTCGCACAGAATTGAACATGTTCGAAGTCTACTTCAAAAAAAAAAAAAAAAAAAAAAAACATTACTAATTGTTGCCAACAGTAGTGGAAAAGTTCAACGTTATGCACTGCATAAATCTATAAAACTGATAGAATGAGAAACAAATGTTTGAGCCGTTTCCGAGCCTACGCAAGCTCCCCATGGCGTTTGCCACTTCTAACATATTGTATGTGTTGTTGAGACTAGTGCCGATAGCTCGTTATGAGAATCGGTGTCTAGCTATAAACGATTGCATAGACTGATTTCTACCGATATTGAAATTAATCGAGAAGAATATATATTTACTAATAAAATTTTGTTGCAGGACCATTTCAAGAGATGGTTCATAAACAATTGTACAATTTGTATTTTGTGTTTTTCTCAACAAGCTTTCATTGCAGAAATCTTGTGACTAGTCTCGAAAGATTCTCTTTTGAAAATAACATCAGAATGTTTTATCTAAACTTCTCATTTAAAAAAAGTGATCAATTAATATAACTCTCTTGCAATATGTGCGATTTGTCTAATATAAAAAATTGTTTTTATAGTTTTATTCATTGAGACTTTGTTGCGGGCAATAAAGTTCTATATTCAAGACAATTTTCACATAAACGCCCGTTGTTCAAGAAAAATATTATTTTGAAAAATTTACAATAATCATTATAGAATTTAAACGGGAAAACTTTTTTAGACTAGGAACAAATCTTTAGAAGATTTTCATCTTACGTTAGATTTTTCATTGTTCGTTAATATATATTTAGTTAGTTATTTCTTAATAATTGTCATTGTATAGTATAAGTGTTTGTTGAATAATATCTGCTAATTGTAATAATCATTGTAGAATATTTCTATCAATGTTAATATTGATATAGATTAGTCCATTGTCCAATAATAATTAAAAAAAAACGATTGTTAATGGTGGTGATGATTTAAATCGAAGTAAATATTTGATATTAATTTGAAATAAATTTTCTCAATATAATTATCATTTATAATAATGATTAATATAAATGTTTGTCATAGATATAGATATTGTGTTCTTGATGGATTTATAAATCTATGTTCTAACAAAATGTTTCATTTAATAATAAAAATTTAATTTGATTTATTATTCTTTAAATAATTTATATTAATAAATATAATGAAAAAAAAAAAATTTTTTTTTCCTTTGTTTCGTTGTTAATATAGTTGTTGTTAAATAATTTATTGTTGAATAATCATATAAACGTAATAAACGTAATAAATGTAATAAATGTTTTGTTGAACGTTATCTTATTGATATTGTTTAAAAACGAAAATAAATTTTGTTGTGTCGTTGTTGTTTTATTTGATAATGATGAATATATTGATTTAAGTAGAAGACAAGTATGTGTTTTATTTATATGTTAATAAATCATATGAAGACAATTGTATAAGAGCTTGAAAATGTATTGGTGATTCAAAATTATAAATTAATCAATATGAACGATGAAGTATATCATTATTAGAAAAGATTTATTTTAGAATTTAATTGATGAAATTCAATTGTTCTGATCAACATGATTTTATTCATTTGAATAACGATATAAACTAACAAATAACATTTTTTGTTTTTTATGTGAATATTGTCGATTTAATGTATAACGAAATTGAATTATATGTAATATAGATGGTGTTGCTGTTTGTAAATCAAATATATCTATTTAAGGTATTATTTGTTGATTATGTATTTGAGGTTGTTCTAAACTAAACGCCATGTATGACGATAAATATTTGTTTTTCTTCTATCAAATCTATAAATCCAATATGATGACATTTACGTGAGCAAAAAAAAAATGTTACTGATGATGAATAAAATGATGTAAATGATAGAAGTGAATGAAGAGTTAATATTGAATAGGAATTTGAATATTGATCATCAGTAGAAGATTTTAATTGAGTAAGATTTATAGAAGATGTGTTTGGTCTTTCATCAGATTGTATATCAGTTAAATAAGAAGCAAATAGATCACGAATATTGAACTAAAGAAAAAAAAAAAGCANTATTTTTTTTTTTTTGTCTTCTTATAGAAATCAATTCGATTCAAAATAAATTTCATTGATCGTTATTCTCATGTTTTGTGTTTTGTTTTTCATGTTGAATAAAGAAAAAAAAAAAAAAAAAAAAAAAAAAAAAAAAAAAAAAAAAAAAATTAAAAAAAAAAAAAAAAAAAAAAAAAAAAAAAAACAATAGTTAGGATTTTATTATTTATGGTTATTCTTGGATAGAAGTTAACTTATTTTGTAGTTTTTTGTGTAGTATTATATGAATATTTAATGTTTCGGATTATTCTTCTTTTTCAATCTATAGATTTTTCGATAGTTTATAATTTTTTTTATCATAAATTCATCTCACGAGGAAAATCTCTCAATTGATTAATCACTTGTGAATCCCGAGTAGACTTCGTCGGTTTGGTCCCGAACTCGGACTCGGTCGGATTTCGGTTTGAAAATTTTCGAGTTTATGAGCTCTATTCGAGAGAATGTGCATCATGTAGATAAGAGTAAGTTTAGAATATTCTGGAAACAAGTACGGACTCTCAGCTTATCGATGTGTAGATTCTAAAACTTTACGGTAATTTTTATATGAATACTGTAATTGCCCTCCGCAACCTCAGGAGAGCTGATTTCCGAATTTCGACTTTCAACTTTGTTGAGAGAGAGTCGAATTCTCGATTAGGAGACTTTCCCTCGTCCTACCTTTTCCTACAGTTCTTAATACTTCCTGCCAATTTTGTTTTTTTTTACAAATTTTATGGGAATTTTGGAGAGAAACTAGATCTTAAGACAACATATGCCTTTCTCTAGGAAGAAAATGGAACAAAGATAAGCAGACAATGTCGTTACAAGGTGAACAGAATTGAGACAGGTCTCAGAAAAGGGAGGGGTTAATCGGAGATTGTCTGTTGCGGAAGGAGTCGAGTCATCATGGGTTTTGTTCTTGCTTCCATTGTTACCACTTCAAGCATGAAAGTATTTTTCGAGAAAATTTTCGAACTTTTTACAGAATTCTTATCCGACAGTCTACCCCTAAATAATATCGACAAGTTTGAGATAAGCCTTAAGGGCCCCCCATACCCAAAAAAATCTATTTTTTCCCCAGAACACTCAATCTTACTGGAATTTTTACTGAATATGTACTTGACCTTTGATAGTTCTCAGTAAAAATTTGAGCTCATAATATTAAGTTTTTCCCGAGTTATCGTAACATCAAGGGTCAAAAAATAGGTGTCCATGTGTCAAAGATTTTTTTTCAATTTTAAAGACACGGACCTCGGGATAATGTCAAAATGTAGAGAAGACCTGTCCCTACAACCTAACAAAGCCAGTTTTTTGAAAAAAAAATTTTTTTTTTTTAGAAAGTTTTTTTCGAAAAAAATTAAAAAAACTAGATTAATTTTTTAGAAAACTCGAGTTTTTTGTGAAAAATTAGATTGAAAACAAAAATTCCGGCTTTGTTAGGGTGTAGCGCTGAGGTTTATCTTCATTTTAAAACCTTCCCGAGCTTTCTAACATTTAAAATGGCGGAGAAATCTTTGACACACAGTCAGATAAAACAGTTTCGAGAAAAACGCAAAATAATTTTTTTTTTTGATTATCGCGATTTTTTTGTTTAAAAGTGGTAGTGAAAAAAACCGAGGGCAGTTTATTATAGGTTATCGACTATGGTGAATCGAATGAGCACATTGAGAGACATGTGTGACGTACTTTTTTTTCCATATGTAAGCGTTATTCTCACGAAAAACCATAAAAAATCACTGGTTTGACGGAAACTCTGAGCGAAGAAATAAACAGTGACTCACAGTCTTCCTCATTGATAGAACCAGTTCTTACGTTTCGTGCATGATGACTCAGATAGAGGTCGGCACGCGCTGGTTATATTCCCCATTGTCTGAAACGTATAGAAAAGTTCAAATAACTTCAATAACTGAAGTTTTCGAAAAAAAAACTTTATTGATGCAGGGGTCTTCAGAAAAACCGCTGTAAAACCCTCAAAAACCATCATAAAACCAATAAATTATAGTGCATTCGAAAGTAGAGATTATGGGCTATCTCACTATGTATAAATCTCGAAATCGATATTTTTGTCGAAAATTGTTTTTTTTTGAGATATGGGGGGCCCTTAACCAGACTAGTTTTCATTGTCAAAGTTTCCGACCTTTTGATTTCTTTCTAATAAGAATATTGAATCTGCCGTTATAGATGAGCGATGTAAAACGATAGACTTTTACCATCCTATATACTAAGACAGGATCAACAAGAAAAAATAAAAAAATTCATAATAAACTATTCACGTTAAGAACTGTCGCTTATGGAAACGTTTTAAGTCGAAATTCGAAAATGAACGTTTCCTGAAGAATATCAGAGCATTGATTTAAAAATTACTGTAAAAGTCGAATATGTCGGTAATGAAAAGTTAACAATGTAAATTGTTTTCCGAATATCCATAGCTCGTATGCTTCTATATAATGCACGTAGTCTCAGCTCAAATCGAATTATAGTTGAAGGATTTTCCTATGAAGTAGAAAAGAATGAAGCGATGATCTCCATCGATCACATAACTAGAGCTCGACAAGAAACTTTCTAATCATCAGTTGTAGAATTGAATATTTCCCCCTGAGAAAAGAAAGATTCAGTTATAAAATTTTCAAAAGAAATTTTATTCTCGTATAAATAAAGATATTATTCATATCGAAGTTACAGTGTGATTAGAACACAACTAGGACTTATCATAGTCGAAAACGTTTGTGTTCATTTATTCGGATTAGAAAAAGCGCACACGAGTTGTCATTGTCTAATGGCTTTAAATTAAAAAGATTTCTCTAGAGAATTTTGTGTCTTTTCACCTAAAATATCTCTCTTTTTTCAATCGAAGCAAAAAGTTCCATGGAAATCTCTAAACTTGTTCTATAATAAATAGCGTTTGTTCATGTAAACAAAAAGCAATAGATTGAAATTAAATTATTCAATAAATATATTTCTATAAACCTTTTTAAGACGATCATCAACAATCGAAAGCATAAATTCTATTGTCTACCGTCTAAGATGAAGACATTTTAAAACATTTCCAGTAAATTGTTTCTATGATAGAAAACCGATATTATTATCTTGTTGATGTTCTACGATAAACATAATAAAATATTAAATGTTGAGATTCAAAACAAATTAAAAAAGATATTCGTGTGTTAATATTGTTATTTAAATATTCTTCTTTCGTTTTGATATTGATCATTAAGATAATAATTATAATAAAATTCAATTTCTAAATATTCATTATTATTAGTTATTATTGATTGTTGATCATTATTTATTAAATCATCATCATAATCTAATATAATTCGATTTAATGAATAAATATCAATATGATTTGTTAATGATTTATATATAGAATGATAAGAAGACTATTTGTTAATGTTAATCGTTATTTGATAATATTCAATAGAATAAGTTCTATTTATAAATAAAATCATATATTTGTTTAGTTAATTTATATAAAAAAGCATTGTGTTAGGTATAATATATAAACATTTGAAAATTGAATAAAATAATAATATATTATTATTTATTTTAATTTATTTATTTATTCTTCTTGTTTAAATTGATTGAGATGATTTAGTTGACTATTTTATAATTATTGATTTCGATAATCGATTTTTATATTCATATTGATTTATTATTCTTCTTATTAATATAGATTTATTTGTTTTTAATTTAATTCAAATAAAATAAACAAAATAATATTATGATTCATTATAAATTGTTATTTTTAATCGATAGATTGTTAATAAAAAGCGGATTAAATTTTAAATAAAAATAACCGTTTTCATTCTAAATTATAAAAATCGTTCTATAAATATTATTTTTTTATTATATATCTAAACGAATAATATTCGTTCGAAATTCTATTATTATTATTTATATCTATAAGAATATCTTATATAAACTGAACGGTATTATCCAATAAGAGATTTATAAATAATTAAATATTTTCCTATCAGGGTTAAATTGAAAATATTCGAGATAATGAATATATATTTAAGTAAGAATAATCTTTTATAAATCGACGAATGAGGATAATTAGATCGATCTTATCTCCAAGGATAATCAGATCGTTTCCAATAAGAGAACTGTTTTAGTATAAGCAAAACATAATGCAAGATTATAATTATATTTAAATGGTCAATTATAAAAATCATCTTTATCCATAGGTTTCCTGTTTTTTTAAATAGAAATAAAAAGCGTTAATGATTCGAAAATATAATTATAATCAATGATATTATTTCTATTGAATAGGATGAATTAATATCGGTTTGTTATCTTTAACATTTCTCGAATAAATAGAGAAAAAGTTAAAAATATATTTATAATAATCAATCTATATTAAACTCTTGCTCAAACGGTTAAATGCCGATTATATATAAATATAGATGTAAAGTGTGTTGAGTAGCTCAGATTTAATCTCAGTGTTTTTCTCCAAAATAAATAATCGTTAACTATTACTTTTATTAAACATTTCTTTTATGACTCTTTCGTCATGTAGGTGCTATGATAGACTGAGCCCAAACAGTTCGACGTTGACATAAACTTCTATTTTTTACGTTTTTTGTGCTAAAATTGAAAATATTTATTCCTAATAAATTATTTTCTAATATTCTATATAAATCAATGATTTTTGTTGAATTATAATGAAAATAATATAAATATCTATGTGAAAACGTTTTATTGAGATTGATAGGAACAATATCACAGTTCGATTTTGATTTTAGAATAGAAAGAAAGAAAAGAAGTATTCATCTGTTCTGGAGCTGTTTTGATGGATAAGTAGTGTTAAATAAATAGATCAATTTCGTCGACTAACGATCTATTAGATAAACGTTTCGAAATCTAGTCATGGAGAGGATTGAAACTGAAATACTACTCTTACTCATATAACAAACATCTATCGTCAACATATAATATTAAGATTTAAATCAGTAAACTTGAAAAGTGGACACGAATATAGTCGTTGAGTTAACAACAAGAGTGATGACCATTGATTATTCAATCGTCAATTGAATATCTCACTTGATTGATTAATATACGATTTCATTCGTTAGAAAACTCAAAGTTATTTATCTCGAAATAGGAAATCATCTTTCGTTCGAGACATAATAAAGGTTACGTTCGAATATGTTTAGATCTCCTTTAAATTGGTAAATATTCAAATAAACTCTATTTTAAAGCATAATGGTCAATCCGATAAATAATCATAGATTCGTTATAGGAATTTCGAAAGAATATTCTTACTTATAAATTCAATATTGACTTGTTTTATCTATGTAAAATTGTCAAAAATTTTCCTTGATTCGTTATATAAAATCCCAAATAAAATAAAACATACTGGTCAAACTCATCGATAAGCTGGATTATGATCAATCTTGAAATGTTCTATATCTTGTTGCGCTTGACTAAACATAAAACGTTGACGTCTAGTTGATCGACCGTCTATTGAAAAATCTACTCGTCGATATTGTTCTGTTATGATGATCATAGGGATCATGATAATATTGTTGTTAAATAATCAACTAAAAAACCAATAAGAACAAGAGCAGCTTATGATCAATGTTTATTTTTGACTTTTTTTCTATTTGTTGTTTATATAAATGTTATATATAACAATGAAATTTTAATTCGATTAATTGAATCTATATGAATATTCTATTCAATTTGATAATGATGATAATATATATGTTCATGAAATTCTTCATCATTATTGTTATGTTGATAAATCTAATCTTGATTATAATTCTACATCACCATATCTTTATTCAATAAAACACATAATTTATTTAATAAAATAAATAATCACCGTTTATTGAATCATCTTAGATAAATATCTATTGATCTTAACAAAATAAATTTATCATATTATATGCTTTTATTTCATTATATTCATTTATATTATTTAATCCTAATCTATGATCATATTATATTTATTATTGATTATTGATAAGCACTACCAATATTCATTTATTATTTATCATTAACGATAACATTAATCAATTTAATCATCGATTATTAACTATTCAACGTAGATCTTTATCAATTATTCTTCTTAATCATTTATTTTCATCTACTTTTAGAATTTCTCGTCATAGAATATAATAGATAAAAACGGATAGTTTTTATTAAACTAACCAGAAATCTAAAAATAAATTGAATTAACTAGAGGCTCCTGTCAACCAAGAGAGAAAACACAAGACCCATCGACTCCCTGCTTCTACTGTAGCTTCTCTCTACTTCCACCGTACTCCGGAAGCCTTACCTTTCCCTTCCCCCCCCCCCCTGGTTCAACTTTAATATTATAGGAAAAATTAATTTGATGTACATAAGAAAAAAAATTTCTGAATGTAAAATATAATATAGATAATGAACGAACATATACGACCTATATGCTGGGTGACGCAAAAGTAACGTTATCGAAACAAAAAAAAAAGAATTGAATATTTCCATTATGGAGAAGAGCAAACGAGCTGACTTTTTTATCCCTAGTAAAGGTATGTTCACACTTCATATTGATAAAGATAAGGGAAGAAACGAACCTTTTGTTAAGTACCACAATTGACTTCAACAAAAGAAATTTTGACTTTTTCACCAATGGAAAAAACCAATGTTGTAGAGGGTGGTGGAAAATAAACTTTACCGAAAAAGAATTGAATATCTCTTCGTTATCGATAAGAGGAAACGAGTTGATTTTTGTTATGAATTGAAGAGGCATATTCAATGTTTAGATTGATAAAGACATCCATAGACAAGACCCGTTCTTACCTATGTTGGTTTTGTTCCCTATCTGTGAAAAAGTAATGATTTCTTTTGTTGAAGTCAATAGTGGCACTTAAGAAAAAGTTCTCTCGTGCGTTGTCTCTATCAATATGAACTGTGAACATACCTTTACTAGGGATAAAAAAGTCAGCTCGTTTGCTCTTCTCCATAATGGAAATATTCAATTTCTTTTTTCGTTTCGGTAACGTTACTTTTGCGTCACCCTCTATTTATTTGTTTCTTTGTTTGTTAATATTCTATTGATGATGATTATCCTTTCGAACAAAAGTTAATATTCTAGAATTTAAAAAAAGAAAAAAAATGTTAATGCTCACCAAAAAATGAAAAAGTTATGTATATCTCATATAAAACTTGTTGACTTGACGTAAAGAAAAAAAGAATTTTTGTTTTCTGATTCATAGACGTTTGCATATCGTTGTGTGATGATTTTTTTTCTAGTCCTATTATTGTCACGAAAAAAAAAAAGAATATGTTATTATTTGTTAGTTAAGAAAACAGGCAAACATAACAAGATCAATCAATCTAGTTTATTTTGTTTGTGACAAGACGGTCATCTTTGTTTTTTTATTTTTCTTCGAGATTTTCAACAATGGTGACCAATGAAACATTTTCGATTTTAGAATAATTTATTTGAAATTGATTTCCTTCAACGAAGGAAATTAACGTTCAACTGGTCAACGACCTGATGATCATCGAACAGGAGATAAACAACATTAGATAAATAAATCGATTTATTCGAGAAATAAATCCTTAGACGAATATCGATTTATTTTATAATTTTTTTTTTCTTTCCAAGGAACCTGTTGAATAACGATTAACTCATCCTGAGCATATATATAGAGATGTGCAGGGTAAGCTTTTCTCTTACCCTGTACCCTGATAAAGGAATTTTTGTTTACCCTTGTCCTACCCTACCCTGTAGGTCCTCTACCCTTGTCCTACCCTACCCTACGAGGTGCTTACCCTGACCCTACCCTGTAAAATTTCTACAATTCTTTACCCTTACCCTACCCTACCCTGCAAAATCTTTAGATTTATTTACCCTACTCTACGCTGTAAATTTTACAGTATAATGCCTTTATGGCTTGCTATTCTTATTTTTCCTCACTCGGCAGAACCTACCAGCCATCCCTGTACCATAGGAAGTTATTACTTTACAGTCTATTCATGTTATTCCAGTACAATAATTGAAAAAAGAA